TTGAACAATACGTATTTAGAGATATGGTCACGAAGAATCCTTTTTAAACGTTTGCCGCAAGATTTCGACACCTCTGAAAGGATTTATGAGAAATTCTTCAAAGTACATGAATGGGATAGGCAGTCGATTATGGCTGTATCATCTGCTCTACTCAAGTTCAAGTAAGTGCTGCGTGGTTGGGATAAAACTAAACCAAGTGTAGCCTGATCTAATGGGAAATAGCCTCATAAAAACTAAATCTAATATGTTGTAGGCAGTTCCCCCTACACGCATCGGTTCTGTTATGACTTGGCTGAGATTAAATGATAGCACGAGATCAAACAGTATGTCGAAACTAGGTGAGTTGTGTTTAAATGTTTCCCAGTTAACGTCAGGCAGATTGAAAATGCCGAAAAGTATTATTATTGGATGCTTGACATTATCTTGAATGTAGCGGCAGTTTTTCTGCAGAGCTGACAACAATAGTTCATGTAGAAAATGACAGCTTACGAAGAATACTTTGTATTCCTGTGATTTCAGGCTACGCTACATATGGAATTTCCTTTTTAATCAGTATAGCAACGCCACTGCCAAGTGTTGGTCTATTTTTGCAAACGATTACATAATTTGACGGTGCGATTTCACTCCCTGATATTGGCAGTTAGCCATGTCTCAGTTAAAGCAACGAAGCTTGGTTCAACCCCGAGAAGCAGTGCCTTAAGAAAGTCAGGCTTTTTTAGTACATTACGTGCATTGATATTACAATAGTTATATCGCGCGTGATGCGTTGTGCTGAGTGCATGCTGAGAAATTTCCTGGTCGCTCACTTTTTTTTTAGGGGCTAGAATTGCTGGAATTTGAGTGGATTCAAACATTATTTGTTTCATCATCCTATCGGTAAATATCTCCTTGATTACTAAGCAATATGTTTGATTATTTTGGTAAAAATGTACACGTAATCATTCCTAATGAAAATTTTAATGTGTATTTGGGGTCTTTCGGTAATATTTCTTGGGGGTTTATACAATCCACTGGGACTGGCATTTCAACTACTAAAGCTGACAACACTTGTCACTGTCTAAATACAGAGATCGACTCAAATGGTGACTCATGTAAGCGATTCTGATGCATAGTTGTTGCACAGATTGCCAGGTTCTTGAACACAGACAATCATGCAAAATAGTCACCCACTGTTGAATAAACATCCCTCCCCTATAGATGTAGCCTGTCTATTTGCTGTCTCGATTTAGACAAAGCAATTTATTATTTCACTACCCTCAAACTAATTATAAATATTGTCACGGGGTCGTGACGTAGCCGAAGACAGGAGAATTCGTGTTGGGATTTAACTGTTTATTTGGGCGAACCTGTGCCCAGTAAACGGAAAGTCCGATTACAGCAGCAGTCTTGCACAGATAGCAGTCTCGGACTGATAGCGGCGAACGGAGCGTCGGCCTTCGTTCAACAACTGACAAGCGGCGAAGCGCGTCGGCATTCATACTCTTGCCGTCGAATGTTCTAGCGTTATCGCTGGCGGTGGCGTAGGTTCCAGAACAATCTGTACTGGAAAGTTGTAGGCGCTGAGCAAAGGCCGAAGGGCATCACCTTAAACTTAGGCCGTCCGGTGTTATAAACGCCGTCTTCTCTCGGTCTCTTTCGTCGACTTCGATTTGCCAATAGCCAGTCTTGAGGTCCATTGACGAAAAGTACTTGGCGTTATGGAGCCGATCAAGTGCGTCGTCTATTCGTGGGAGAGGATACACGTCTTTTCTTGTGATTTTGTTCAGGCGGCGATAATCGACGCAGAAACGTAGGGTCCCATCCTTTTTCTTCACTAACACCACGGGGGATGCCCATGGGCTCTTGGACGGCTGGATAATGTCATCCCGCAGCATTTCATCAACTTGTCTCTTCATGGCCTCACGTTCTCGCGTCGAAACTCTGTACGGACTCTGACGGAGTGGTCTGGCATTTTCTTCGGTTATGATGCAATGTTTCGTGATTGGGGTCTGCCGAATTTTCGATGACGACGAAAAGCAATCTTCGTATTGCAGGAGCAGGGCCTTGAGCTGTTCTTGCTTATCGTTCGGAAGTCTGGGATTGACGTCGAAAGCTATGGAAGGGGCTTGGTTCCTCTGAGCAGGTTCCGCAGAATCGGCGAGGGCGAAAGCACTGGTGGCTTCGACGATTTCTTCGATGTATGCGACCGTTGTTCGTTTGTTCACATGTTTGTACTCATTGCTGAAATTCGTGAGCATAACCGTTGCTTTGCCTCCCCGCAGCTCTGCTATTCCTCTTGCGACGCAAATATTTCGGGTGACCAACAGATGCTGACTGCCTTCAACGACGCCTTCCAAGTCAGGTGATTTAGGAGTGCCGACTGAAACAATGACGCTTGAGCGAGGCAGAATGGTGACTTGTTCTTCCAGCACATTCAAGGCATGGTGTCCTGACGGCGTGCGCGGTGGTAGTGCTTCTTCTGTGAATAACGTTATCGACTTTGTTTTTAGGTTGATGACAGCGCCACGAAGGCATAAGAAGTCCATGCCAAGGATGACATCTTTCGAGCAACGCTGTAGGACTACGAAGTCTGTAGGATAAATACGGCCGTTAATGGTGACTCTCGCTGTGCAGATTCCTGCAGGCGTTACGAGATGACCTCCAGCTGTGCGGATTTCAGGGCCTTTCCAAGCTGTCCTAACTTTCCTTAACTTCGCGGCGAACGACCCACTGATGACAGAATAGTCAGCTCCAGTATCGACGAGAGCGGTCACACTGTGGCCGTCGATAAGAACGTCGAGGTCGCTAGTTCGCCGTCTCGCATTACAGTTAGGGCGTGGCGTCGGGTCACGGCTGCATCGGCTTGTTCCGCTGCTTCCATGTTGCGTCGTCAGGCCACCTTCGGTAAGTGAGCTTTCGCCGTCAGGGCTTTGCCTGGTTGGCGTTGTTTTCGGAAAGCTCCGTCGCGGTGGCGTCGTCGTCGGAGAGGATCTTCGGTAGTTCGTTGCACAGCAACCGCACCTCCACCGGTTGCTGCCCTTAGTTTCCCGGATACGGGCTAGGAGACCGGCCCCGCGTTGGGCCAGAGTACTGCCGGGGGTGCGGTGACATACGGCGGCTGGGCGACGGCGAACGGGAAGGACTTCGTGGTGTCCATTGAGTTCCTGTCAGGTAGTCGGCGATGTCACGTGGCCGTTCCCCTGGCTGCGGACGTGGTGCATCGACGGCGAAGCCACGCAGTCCCATCTGTCGGTACTGGCAACGGCGGTAAGTGTGCCCGGCCTCGCCGCAGTGGTACCACAGTGGGCGGTGGTCAGGGGTGCGCCAAACGTCGGTTTTCCTCGGCACACTGCGCTGGCCCGCTGGCGAACGGTAGGTCGTCGGTGGTGGTGGTGGCGGCGGTGGTGTCTGGCGACGGAAGTGCGGCGGGGCGGCGTTTCGGCGTGGACGGGGAGGAGCGTTGTGGCGCACAGCAGCGGCGTAGCTCATAGTTTCTGGCTCGGGCAGCGGTGTTTGGGGAATTCGAAGCGATTGCTGAACTTCTTCTCGCACAATGTCGGCGATCGAATCCACTTGAGGTTGCGCCGAAGGCAACAGTTTGCGCAGCTCTTCCTGCACGATCGCTCGGATCGTTTCACGCAAGTTGTCGGAGTCACTGGCTTGAGCAGCAGCGCATTCTGGAGTCAGGCGACGATTATACTGTCTGGTGCGCATGTCCAGGGTTTTTTCGATGGTGGTCGCCTCGGATACAAATTCTTGGACGGTGTTGGGTGGATTTCTCACTAGTCCCGCGAAGAGCTCCTGTTTGACCCCTCGCATGAGGAAACGAACTTTCTTCTCCTCAGGCATGTCTGGGTCAGCGTGACGAAATAGGCGGGTCATCTCCTCTGTTCCAACCTTTTCATTTGGTAGCTGAACCCGGGTCTCTATTAGAGCAGCGGCCCTCTCTTTGCGAGCGACGCTCGCGAATGTTTGCAGAAATGCGCCGCAGAAGACATCCCACGTTCGTAGCGTGGACTCCCGATTCTCTAGCCGGGTCCTTGCGGTGTCTTCCAGGTAGAAGTACACACGACGGAGCTTTTCTTTGTTGTCCCAGTGGTTGAGGGCGGCCACACCGTAGTATGTTTCTAGGCAGGTTTCCGGGTCTTCAAACGATGACCCATGAAACGCTGGTTCCCTGGGTTGATGAATGACGATCGCGGGCTGGGACGCTCCGGTTGTCATAGTCGCTGCAGTAGAGGTCATGGCCTTGGCCTTCCGCGCCTTGTCTTGTAGAAGCCCGTACTCCGGTAGGAGACCTTGCTGTCGGCGGCTTGTTCGCTGCTCTTGGTTGGCGTCGGTGTCTTCTCCGCGACGTGGGCTGGGTTCACGGCTTGACGGGGGCGTCCGGTACATGAACGAAGCAGCACCTCCACCAGATGTCACGGGGTCGTGACGTGGCCGAAGACAGGAGACTTCGTGTTGGGATTTAACTGTTTATTTGGGCGAACCTGTGCCCAGTAAACGGAAAGTCCGATTACAGCAGCAGTCTTGCACAGATAGCAGTCTCGGACTGATAGCGGCGAACGGAGCGTCGGCCTTCGATCAACAACTGACAAGCGGCGAAGCGTGTCGGCATTTATACTCTTGCCGTCGAATGTTCTAGCGTTATCGCTGGCGGTGGCGTAGGTTCCAGAACAATCTGTACCGTTCGCACAGTGGGTGTGGTCTTATCGAAATGATCTACTACAGCCCGGAACCTTCTCGAAAACTGCAGGCGCGGTTTGCGCTGAGAATCGTGTGGTGTTTTGGGACGATAACAAAAACTTGGGAAATGGAACGTGGCAATATTATATACATAATATCATAAATTAAACACTTCTATAAAAGTAAGTTATTGCAATACTACACTCCATCCAAAAGAAAATCTACACATTAGTTTACAGATCATACAAGATTGCCAATCAGGAACACAGTGTTTGCAAAAGTACCACTCCCACCAAGGCAAGAAATAAAATTAAAATGAAGTTAAATGTATTTACCTGTTTTAGGAGGCCTACTAATGGTGTCATCACATCGAAATCGATGAGTGCGTGACATGCTTCGTGGCTAATGGCACTTATGTTCCTAAAGTAAAAAAAAGTCAGAAAAAAATTAGTGAAGGCTAACAGATGCCCTAACGCACTAGCACGAATTCTTGAACATCAAGGGCCCTAGAGATACTGTGCAGCTGAAATGAAATTCAAAATACCATAAAATTTGCTTTGAAATTACACAAAGTTCCACAAAGCCTGAAGGTAGAAATTCAAGCGTTTTACAAAACATTGAAATATTTGCCAACGGTTTTTGAATGTTGCAGGGCAACACCGCAAACAGGAATTGTTTGCCATAAAATTGTTCCCAAAACACTATGGCTAATTTCATTGCATTAGAAAAGCGCAGTCATCACAGATATCTATAGATACACAAAAGCTCTTGTATTATTACAGGTACTGGGACATCTCTCATATTAGATAATGTTCTTCAGTTCTCCATTTTTACTTTTCCCAGTTTTTTTTTTCAGTCTTTCACAAACTGTTTTGTTTCATTCCAAAGGTGATGCTACATGATGTTTTCAACACATGTTGTATCCCTCTTTTTCTATGCATGTGTGTATCCCTCTTTATCTGTGGGTGATTCCACGAGAGATCGACACGGGTCCAAAAGTTGATATTTTAGATTTCATTGAGTATTTCATATTTCGTCCACCTCTCACCAGGTAGCCCGAAAGTCAACTTCGTTTTATGATTAACGGCATAACTTACGAGGAAAAAATATCAAACTTCACCAACACGGAGGCACCGATTTCATCACCTGTCATTTTAGAAAATTGCAGATGCTATAAAAAGACAAATATTTTTGTTTCAAGGAAGATATTTTTTACCTGAAATGCATGTCTAATGAATAATAAATTCATTATTCAAATTCATTCAAAGTTTGTAGACCTTAAGAAAATAGCTTTTAAAAATGTCTAATTTTACGACAGCTTAAAATAAGTTACGTATTCCCAATTTTTTTTCTCCAAAAGTAATGCAAGCAGCGTTTTCAAGCTTGACACATTTTAAAGATATAGTGTGTTCACTAGGTACATAAACTATTGCTGCCGTAAGGCAAATGTAAATTTTTATATATTGCCTCAAAGTTCTCATATTGGCTGAAGTGTACTCCACTGAAATTTGAATAATAAAAAAAACCCATCTTCAATTTTTCTTAAAATCTCGTAAATAGACAACCGAAGGCCATCATACAGTAATATAGAAAAACATGTTGCATTATTTTGTTTTTAGCGACAATATTCGTGGTACAAATCAGAGTTTTTCGAGAATGCGCTGATAAGTTGAGAAATCTAGAAATCAGAACGCAAAAGCAGCAATAAGCTTCAAACGCGAGTAAACGTAACCGCATTTGGTGAAGAAAGGCTGTTTTAGCAGATAAGAGTAACTATGTTGAACACGGTAGTCTACAGTATCTGAATTCACTCTTATACGGCAGTTGTCTGCAAAAAGTCGCACTGTAGTACTTCTATCTATGCCGCATGAAATGTCATTTATCATTTATGTAAGTTAAGAATAATATCGGTCCTAAAACTGAACCTTGCGGTACCCCTGAGGTAACGCTTAATGACTCAGATTCGAAGCCATTTATTTCTACATATTGTGTTCTGCCTGTCAGGTATGCACTTAGGTATGCCTAGGTGTGCTAACTTATTAACTCCCTGTGAGGAACCTTGTCAAAGGCTTAGGAAAGGTCGAGACATATTGCGTCAATCTGAACACTATTATTTAAGGCACGCATGAAGTCATCGACTGTTTCTATTAATTGGGTTAGAGTGGATAAATTCTGCCAGAAACCATGCTCTCATATGCTCAATATGGAACTCTCAAATCAAAGAAGGCCGGTTCTAGAACAGTTGCGAATTGGATAAATCATTCACAGCACCGTATGTGGGATGTTCATTGTTTGTGTTGGCTTTTAGAAAATATGTGAAGGAAGCGTAGCACCTCTGCAAGTGAAGGGACCACTCATTAGATTTGGCATAAAAGCTTCCTACAGGACTTGTTTGAAAGGCACCCGTGGAAAGGCGAATGCCAAGATGGTGGATGGGGTCCAGCATCTTCAGTTGGCTCGGTGAGGCAGATTCATAAACTATGGCTTCATAGTCTAGGCGCGTGAGTACGAGACTCTTGTAGAGGTTCATAAGGCATTTTTGATCACTTCCCATGATGTACATGATAAAACCTCCAAAATATTCATATTTTTAGGCACTTGTCTTTGAGGTATTTTATGCGTTGTACAAAAGATAATGTCGTGTCTAGAATTACGCCTAAAAGCTTGTGCTCTGTTTTTACAGGCAGCGGATGGTCCTGTAAATATATATTTGGATCGGGGTACAGTCCTCTTTTCCTAGAAAAAAGTACCCAAGTGCCCTTAAGTGGATTGAGGCTGAAACCATTTTCATCGGCCCACTTTGACACTTTATTAGGCGCAAGCTGAACTTGCCGTTCGCATATTGCGAGATTGCAGGATGTAAAACCAATTTGTACATCATCAACATAGATTCAATAGAAGATATTGCGTGGGATACACATACACAAGGAGTTCATTTTTATTATAAAAAGTGTAGAACTTAGGACACCACCCTGTGGCACTTCAGTCTCCTGGACAAATAGATGTGACGGGGCGTTGAAACCGACACGAACATAGAATGTTCTGTTCCACAAATAGCTTTCTATTATACTTAACATTTTCCCATGCACACCCATTTCCAAGAGGTCCTTCAATATGCCAAACCGCCAAGTCGTACCAAAAGCTTTTTCCATGTCAAGGAAGACAAATAGAAAAAACTGCCTGAGTACAAAAGCGTCACGGGTGCTTGTCTCTATGCGTATGAGATGGTCAGCTTTGGATCGACCTTCTCGAAAACCACACTGATGTGGGTCGAGCAACCTGTTTGATTCGAGAAAGTGTACTAGTCTACGGTTAATCATCTTTTCAAAGAGTTTGCAAAGGCAAATAGTCAGAGCTATTGGTCTATAACTGGAAGCAGAAGATGGTTCCTTTCCCTGTTTCAGGATTGTAATAACGATCGCCTCTTTCCAAGAAGCAGGGATTTCACCAGAAAACCAAATGGAATTGTATGGGGCAAGGAGAGTTTTTTTTTTTTTGTTTCTGAAAGCAGATTCCTCAACATTTCATATACCACACGATCGGATCCTGGAGAAGATTTGTTACAAGTGTTTAGCAATGCGTGTAATTCAGCTAAGTGGAAAGGTCCATTATAAGCCTCGTATTTCGCACTTTTCCGTTTTATTTTTTGTCTTATTGTTTTGTGCAACTGGAATATTGTGGAGTAGTGTGCTGAGCTAGAAATGAGCTCGAAGTGTGCACCAAGGAAGTTTGCCTGGTCTTCTAAGGTGTCACCTATTGCATTTACTAAAGGAAGTGAATACGCTTCAGATCCGCTGACTTTTTTTGAACTTGTACCAGACTTTGGCTTCGTCCGTATACGAGTTTATACTACACAAGAACTTCTGCCAACTTTCCCTTCTCGCCTGTCGCCGTGTCCTCCTGTCTTGGGACTTTCTGCTTTTGAAATTTGTAAGGTTCTACACAGTGGGAGAGTCCCTAAACACCTTCTGTGCTTTATTTTGCTTCCTGGGAGCGTTTCGGCATTCATTGTTCCACCATGGAACATGTCCTTTGCCGGTAAGTCTAGATGTTTGCGAAATGAATTAGGTTGCAGTGTCAGTCAGAAAGGCTGTAAAGTACTCTACAGCTTCTTTTAAGCTTAAGCATGATATGTCGGTCCAACGTAAGTGAGTAATCTTATGAAACTGTTCCCAATCTCCTTTATCTGTGAGTCATTTGGGGACTGTGGAGGACATTGATTTGATATGGTGTGCTTAAAGCTACGGGAAAATGGTCACTTCTGAAGGGATTATTGATTACATTTCAACGAGGTAGGGGTAGAAGCGATAGGGACGTAATACTTAGATCTATGAATGAGTAGGCTTTGTTGGCGAGATTAAAGTATGTTGGCTCTTTCTTATTCAATAGGCAGGCACCGGAACAAAAAAGGAACTGTTCAATAAGGCGACCTCGTGCATCGCAGCGAGAATTTTCCCATAGACCGCTATGTGCATTCAGGTTCCCAAGGATCAGATAAGGTTCTGGTAGTTCGTTTATAAAGGACTGGAATTCATGCTTGCCAAGACTGTAATGTGGTGGTATGTAAGATGGTGATGGGTTTGTTCATGAGAACTGCTCGAATAACCCCTGCCTCAAGGGTTGTTCGTAGTGATAGTCGTGTACATGCTATTCCTCGATTAACAATAATGGCTATGCCGCCGTATGGCACCACAGCATCATCTCTCTCTTTTCTAAATATAACATATTGACGCAGAAAGTTGGTGTTCTTGGCCTTTAAGTGTGTTTCTTGTACACAAAGCACTTTTGGTGCATGTTTGTGTAAGAGTTCTTGGACATCATCGAGGTTTCTCAGCAGTCCTCTGACATTCCATTGCATAATTTATGTTTCCATATTGAGGGTAATGTAGTGCTGTGTGTACGAAACGTGACTGATGTCTGAAAGGAAAAAGTGACTTATTTTACAGAGCCTTTGCGAGACCCTGTAATCAATGTTTTGTCTTTTTTTGAGTGGTAAAGGGACTATCACCACTCCTTTGGCGCAGTTTGCACCATTGGACAGGAAGTGTCCGTCGCATCTGCAGATGCGACGGACAGTCGCTTCATTGAGCAGTGCTTACATGAGGTTGGCTTCGTCAGGGCAGACGAAGCCTTCGGCCCCACCGGGCCAGAGGTTGAGTGGACCTTTTCGGCTGCTGCACCACCCTGGCTGCTGCCCGGGCATACAGTGGCGGCTGGTGTGGCTGCATCGACAGAAGGAAGAGCAGCGGTGGCTGCTGCTACCGTGGGGGCAGGAGGTGGTGGTTCCAGTATGCTGGACGTAGCTGACCCGGCCACCTGAAGCCGTTGTGGTGCCGCTTCCCACTGCACCACTTTGATGAACGATGTTTTGCTAGCATAATACGGAGACACGAGCTGCCTTGCTTCGCAGAAAGTGATGTTTTGTTTCACTTTGACGGTTATGATTTTTTTTCCCATGCACTGCAGGTCCTAGAATATGCTGGATGGCCACCACCGCAGTTGGTGCAGCGTACCTCGGCATTGCAGCGATCATCCGCGGAGTGTCCCGTGGTACCTTAATTCGCACAGCTTAGCTGTCCTCGGCATGTCTGGGAAGCATGGCCAAATCTTTGGCATTTAAAACACTGCTGCGGGTTTGGTATGTAGGGTATCACAGGTAGTTTCAAGTAACTGGTCACTATTTAGTCTGGAAGAGTGGAGCACCCAAAGGTCACGACTATGTTCTTCGTCCATATTTCTTTGTTGTCTCTCCCGATTACGATACGCTGCACATGTACGACATTTTCATCCTTCCAGCCAGCCAGAAATTCATCATCCGTTAGGTCTATTAGGTCGTCGTCTGACACAACGCCTTTGACGGTGTTCATGGTTCCGTGAGGAGAGATGGTTTTACAGGCTTGTTTACAAATGCTACTGGTTCTGCTAGTTTCTGACACCGTGTCTTGTCTTTAACTTCTACTAGAAGATCCCCACTGGCCATCTTGGTGGCCTTATATAGCCACATCCGATGGTTTCAGTGAGGCATCTGGATACAAGAAATGAGGAAATGTTCCGGGCTTTTTTGTCCGAGTTCTCCCAGTGAATGGCGTGGTACTTGGGGAACAGGTCTACTTTCAAAAAAGGTTGTGCATTGGCATCGGTGCGCCACCTTTTCAGGAGGCGATCAGTGAAGAAGGGGTATCGTGATCCCATAAAAAAAGCAGTTCGTTCGGTAATGGTGCCTACAACCCAACACGGAGCCCAAAATTGGGACGTGGCAGATAATGTAAAGTCTGCACAATGCCAGTAGTGCACCACTACTATAACCAAATATGGCTTACCCTAGGTCAGGTATCCACACAGGGTTAAATTCCACACAGGCTATCCACACAGGGACAAATTCGGAATAAACAGAAAAGAGAAGATAACAGGACAGATAAAAAGTGAAAGACGAAGACGAAGATGTAGCGAGAGAGATAGGAAAAGGCGACTGCCGATTTCCCCTGGGTGGGTCAGCCCAGGGGTGCCGTCTACGTGAAGCCGGGGCCAAAGGGGTGAGTTGCCTCTGGCGGGGGGCCTTAAAGGTTCAAGCACCCAGCGTCGGCTTAATCCCCAGGATCCCCTTTCCCCGGACACGGCTCAGCCACGCACGGCTAGGCGTGGGAGGGGATCCAAATCCCTCCCGTTTGTGAGTCTAAGTGAGTAGACTTATGAGCGAGTTTGCCGACATATGCAGATGTCATCTCAGATGATTATTTGTTAGATGCAATCTCCAGGCATTTCGCATAGCAGTTTTCTTTAGAAAAGTACTGCACATTGTCCGTGGAAAAATGGCAAGCCACTCACCGAAGCGCTCCAGCAATGGTGTGTCGCACACAAACGCTCTTGTCAAGCAGAAGTGGTGCTGCTGTACGTATAACAGATGCTTTCAAAAGCGACTCACAGGTGGCAGGGTTTTTTGCAGTATTGGCCATAATGTTTGCCGCACATTCTCGTTCCTCTGCTTTACTACTTTGGAGCTAGAAAGAAATACACACATGAATGACAAAATACGCTGGCAGGATTCCAGTACCTATGCACTGCACAAAAAAAAAAAAAAATGATGTGATGCCATTTTTGGCTATGAACTTTAACAAATAATGCTTTGTGCACCCCACCTAGTGCTGCACTGCCTCTGGCGTTCATGCGATGTGATGACATCGAGGTACAACACTAATAACAACATCACGATGACACCACAAACTTTGATGATTTTTGATATCACAACGACGCACAAGATTCTATTGTTTCAATTATATGTAGGGTTTAAGGGGGCCCCACAACATTTTTCGAGCATGGTCAGAAAACGCTGCCAATCGGTAGTAGAGGCTCCCGACTGGTAGTAGAGGCTCCCGACAACAGGCGAGTCAAATATTATAGCCCAGCATGCGGCCTGGAATTCACAATAAATGATCAAAGTCAGCTAAATATTGCTTCCCTTTCTCTCGACAAATGACGAAAGATGCTCAAAAATCACTCATAGAAAGCCCATCTATAAGCCATCAGCTGATTTGAACAAAGCTCGCTCGGTCGTTACAGAGATCGCCGCAGGAGGCCACGGCTTGTCCACGCATGCACATGCAATCAAATTGAAAAAGCCGGACATACGAAGAAAAAAAAAGAAAAGGTGCTGAAGGTCACGAGGCAAGGGGGACGTATTTTCTTTGCCCCTGCTTAGCTTCCAGTGTTTCGTTGAGCCGAGAGAATGCAATTGCAGAATGCGGCAAATCTTTGTAACTACACTCGCACTGGACGGATTCTTAAAATTTTTGCGGCGTTGAGTTTGTGAGGCAATAAGCTTTTTCGATGAATTCATTTCATGGTTACTTGAAAAAGTGTTTCAGGGCCCCTTTAACGTCCCAAAACTACCATATGATTATGAGAGATGCCGTAGCGGAGGGCTCCGGATATTTAGACCATCTGGGGTTCTTTAATGAGCGCCCAAATTTGAACACACAGGCCTACAGCATTTTCGCCTCCATCGAAAATGCAGCTGCTGCAGCTGGGATTCGATCCCGCGACCTGCGGGTCAGCAGCCGAGTACCTTAGCCGCTAGACCACCGCGGCGGAGAACATTTTATTGCCACTGCTTTATTTAGGAGAGAGGCTGAAGAGGAATGGTGGATGCTATGGCATCTGTGCAGTCGAGTACCAGAGCATTCTGTCCTATCTCCAGACTCACATACATGAAGCCACACAACACCCTGCTTCTGCCAAGGCCGGCTTGGGCAATGCAGGCCAGGCAGATGGCCATCAGAAATCACAATTGTTTATCCAAATTGCAATGACGCGGAGAATATGTGTAGCAACTGTGTGAGAAAGCTGAGAAAGAAAGATTAGAGGCAATTATTAGCGCTAGCCATCGCATAAACCTGAAGTAACCAAAGCAACCAGGGCTGCCTCTGGCGCCATCGGGACGTAACAATGCTGCTGGCTCCTAAGATCACTGTTCCGTGCAGTGGCATAGTGTGCAGCCTCATCAAAGCAAAGATAGGGCCATAACTATGGCACTTAGATGTTTTAACATAATAGTGTTAGAATGCACACTAGCAGACAAATTATACCCGATTTGAATTAGAAGAAAATCAACATTTTCTTTACTCCGTTACTTCAGAGAAAATTTGCAAAAATCAGGTTTGGTAGCCAAATCAGTCCATTATTTTGGTTTGATGGCTGTATTGAACCCTCTGGGTAATTGCCAAGATATGGTAATTTCTTCGTAGGATCGGGAACTTCGTAAAATTGGGTTCTAAGTTTTAACTGTATTACAGTGCCCACACAAAAGAGAGCAATTTTTTGAAAACAACAATAACTAAATGTAATACATTAGCAATTGTGGTGTGAAACATCACTTGTGAAAGTGGTGCTTGTCTACAGCTTTGCTGTACACGCACTTTTGTAGGGTGGGACGAAGGTGGAATTTATTTTCTATGCACACCTCTTTTTGTTAAAACCTTTTCAATCTTACCGTGAAATGCAGAGCAAGCACCCCCACCCAAGCAAGCTCACCCCTCCCTTTTTTTGAGAGATCTGAAATAAGTGCCAATAACCAAGCAAGCCCCCCCCCCCCCCCCCCCCCTCGTCCTCCCACACGGTTACTATGTCTTTCACGATGAGCATTGCTTGTGTAAAAAAAACCGCAAGGATGCTGTATGCATATCTAATATGAAATTTATGAAATTCTGTTGTCATGTAAATAAATAAAGAATTTAATGAGAAACATTGATGGGCACATTTTACTTTTAGTGGCTTGGCACTATACGGCAAGCTTTTCTTTGCAAACTAATGACTCCGTGACTACTTTTACCTATATATATATATATATATATATATATATATATATATATATATTGTAGCGAAGCCTCCGAACTATGAAATGGGTCGAACTCTTGCGTACCTTCTAGTGGGGCTACCAAACAAGGACGCCGCTCGCGCTGAGAGCCCGTGCTTTGCTGTGACTGTCGCCATTGCATATTCTCGCTCGTTGCCGGCTAATAAACGTCTTAACAATTTGGTGGAGAGTGCTGCGATCCCTGTCTATGCCTTTGGAGCTACGATCACGTACCCTGCCATCTACTATGTACCAAGACGCTTCTCAGCAAACGCCTCCTCCAATGCCACCCCCTTGTCCCGGTGTCCCCAGAATCCGCGATCCACCCATCTTCACTGGCGCTGATGGCACTGACGTGGAGGACTGGCTCGCCATTTACGACCGCGTGAGCGTCCCCAACAAATGGGACGAGGACGGCAAGCTGACAAACTTGGTGTTTTACCTTGCCGGTGTCGCCAGTTTGTGGTACAACAACCACGCGTCCGATTTTGCCACCTGGTCCGATTTCAAGACCGCAATCGTCAACGTCTTCGGCCGCCCTGCTGTTCGCAAGCTGCAAGCCGAGCAGCGCTTGCGTGAACGTGCTCAGGAGGCTGGTGAGTCATTCACCAGCTATATTGAAGATGTCCTGGACCTATGCAACAAATCCAATCACACCATGTCCGAGTCTGACAAGATCCGAAACATCATGAAAGGCATCGACGATGATGCCTTCACGATGCTGCTCGCCAAAAACCCCGGCACGGTGGCTGAGGTCATCACACTGTGCCAGAGCTACGAGGAGCTCCGCCGGCAGCGTTCGATGACCCGACGCTCCCCACCACGAGCTGCAACGCTTGCTGGCTTGGAGGCCAGTTGTGACCAAGTGGCGTTGATGGCAGAACTGAAGTCCTTTATCCGTGAGGAAATCGCGCGTCAGTTCTCCCTCCTGCCCTTTTCCCACCAACCTGCTGTTCAACAATCGGCTACTACCCTTCTCCCTCCCATCCGCCGAGCGATTGAACAGGAAATAGCGGAGGTAATGCCTGCTTACCACCCCCAACAGCCTCCGGCTCCTGCGTCCCTGAGTTACGCGCAAGTGGTCGCCAGGCCACCCCAAGTCGTTCAAGCACCCCCCCCTCTGACCTACGCTGAAGCTGCTGCACGACCTCCGTCCGTTGCAGCGGGTATGCCCGCTACGTATGTTGACGTAACCCCTCAGCCTCAGCTTCAGTCCACCATGCAGCCACCGTTCCGTCCATCAGCCCTTGCGACATGGGTGAGACCTACCCCGGTGAACAGATGGCGCACACCCGACAACCGGCCCATCTGCTTTGCCTGCGGTTACGCCGGTCACGTGGCCCGTTATTGCCATCGCGTACAGCCGGCTCCAATTTCTTCACCTGTTGCTGGCCAACTCAGCCGTCCTTATCGCGAAGAACCGCCGTCTGTGCCACCTCGATCTCGCCCAGGTCCATCTCGAAGATCACCGTCTCCACGACGCCGTTCCCTGTCTCCCATGCGGCCAAGTGCGGCATCTCATGAGCGGGAAAACTAGTCGTCGCAGTCCCTGAGGCAAGGACTGCGACGCTATCGCAATGTGAAAGCCCTCAGAGCAGCCCCTCGAATGTCATTGACGTGCTTGTGGACGGTGTTTGTGCATCGGCTCTTATTGACACTGGAGCTGCCGTATCAGTTATGGACGAAAAACTCTGCCGCTTACTTCGAAAAGTGACGACGCCACTTTCTGGGTTATCCCTTCGTACTGCGAGTTTGCACCGGATTCATCCTACAGCAGGGTGCACAGCTCGCGTTGTCATCCAGGACGTTCTGTATGTCGCCCAGTTCATCGTCATTCAGGCATGCTCTCATGACGTCATCCTAGGATGGGACTTTCTCTCCCGCCATGACGCCGTCATCCATTGTGCCGCTGCCGAAATTGAGCTCTCACCCTTCTCGCATTTGACGCCAGAAGACAGTCCCCCGACACTGAGCAAGATTCTAACGAGAGACGATACAACAGTGCCTCCAAACTCGACGACGGCTGTGTCTGTCTACTGCGCTGGTCTCTCCGACACCATTGGACTTGTTTCGCCATCTGACCGCGCTTGCAGCAGGAAAGGGTTGCTAGTACCTTTCGCGACCGTGCAGGTCAACCAGGGCAACACTGCACCTAACAGCTTGTTATTATTAGCGGGTCATAATAAGCCTTCAGGCGCTCCACGTTGACGATGTCTCGCCCACGGCGGCGCATGTCCGAAGATTGTTCAACGGGTTCGATCAGATAGTTGACGGGTGAGGTGCGCTCGATGACACGGTAGGGGCCTTCGTATTTGGGACGTAGTTTGGAAGAGGGGCCAGCGGCAGAGGTCGGGGTCGAGAGCCATACAAGCGCACCAGGAAGGAACATGAGCTCAGAAGTGGTGGAGCCATCACGGATACTCTTCTGCCGCTCTTGATCTTGCGTGGTAAAAGTCTTGGCAAGCTCGCGACGCTCTTCAGCAAGCCTGGCTGTCTCGGAAATAGGTGTACACTCAGATGGATCCGGCGTGTACGGGAGTATCGTGTCCATGGTGTGCGACGGGTGCCTTCCGTACAGCAAGTAGAAAGGTGAAAAACCAGTCGTGCTCTGAGGGGCGGTGTTGTAGGCGTAGGTGACGAAGGGCAGTATATTATCCCAATTAGTGTGGTTGGCAGCGACGTACATAGAAAGCATGTCGCCGAGGGTGCGGTTAAAGCGTTCGGTGAGGCCATTCGTCTGTGGGTGGTAAGCAGTAGTTTTGCGGTGGACAGAATGGCACTCCGTCAGAATGGCTTCGACGACTTCCGACAAGAAGACACGGCCTCGATCGCTGAGAAGCTCTTGGGGTGGTCCGTGGCGCAGTATAAATCGATGCAGCAGGAAGGACGCAACATCGCGCGCAGCAGCCGCAGGAAGAGCGGCGGTTTCGGCGTATCGCGTTAAATGGTCAACGGCAACGATGGCCCAGCGGTTACCAGCCGACGTCAGAGGAAGTGGTCCATACAAATCGATACCTACGTGCCCAAAGGGACGGTCAGGGCAAGGTAATGGTTGTAGACTGGCGTGCGACATGTGGGCTGACGGTTTACGGCGTTGGCAAGTGAGGCAAGAGCGAACGAACTGCTGCACATAGCGGTACATCCCGCGCCAGAAGTAGCGTTGTCGAATGCGATGGTAGGTTTTGAATACCCCAGAGTGCGCGCATTGCGGATCAGAATGGAATGATTCACATATCTCTGACCGCAGACTGCGGGGTATCACGAGTAACCACTGCCGGCCGTCGGCGTCGTAATTGCGTCGGTGTAGGAGGCCGTCACGAATGGCGAAATGGCGAGCTTGACGACGCAATGCACGCGTGGATGGCGTTGCGGATGGATCAGACAGCATGTCGATGAGCGGGCCGATCCAATTATCCTTTCGCTGTTCGGTAGCGATGATGTCAACATCAATGGCAGAAACAGCAGCCGAGGATACTGAGCAGAGCACATCACCTTCAGGCAGAGGGGAGCGCGAGAGGGCGTCGGCGTCAGCATGCTGGCGTCCGTTGCGGTACAGCACGCGGATATCGTAGTCTTGTAAGCGAAGAGCCCAACGGGCGAGACGGCCTGAGGGATCCTTCAATGATGAAAGCCAGCATAGTGCATGATGGTCGGTGACGACATCGAATGGGCGACCATACAATATATATATATATATATATACACCTGGCCACCTACATCTGGCTGATCTTGTGTCACCTCTTTGACTAGGTATATACCAAAATTAGCATACGGGGACAAGAGTGAATGGTGAACATGAGTGAGCTTATTATATGAAGAACATTACATCCCTGCCTGATACATCATGAGACGCTTTCCCAGAGTCAGATGCAGTGCACACATGCATACCTTGGCCCATGGTATGCGGTATGTGTCACAGCAACGTAGTCTATGTGAATCCAGGACAGAGAAAATACATTGAAAAGTTTAATAGATGACCCTTCGTGAGGATTAAGCAAGCGAAACACATTTAGATTGATTGCCAGCTAGGCGTGTTGGTAAACGTTCATGATGGTAAAGCACTAAAAAGAACAGACACCATCAAAGAACACAGAACTTTGTCCTGTGTCTAATATCTCTGTTCTTTTTTTCACCATGATGAAGAGAAGGACATATCGTTTTTACAGTAGTGGATTTTAAGGTAAAAAAACAAGTGCTGAAAGACGTGCAGCAATGTCTTTTAGCTTTACATGCCAGTGCAGTGCATGTGACTGGTAAGCCCACGACATGCACACAATTACTCAGTTTTCACATCAGTCAACTCTACTGAATGACTGCTTCACACTGAATTATTTCCCACAATGTGTAGGGTCCCCCGTAATTTTTTTAGTTATGTTTAGGAATGCCAGCTAAGGAAAAGTATAGTGTGCATATAAAAATAAGCGGCTTCACAATGTATGCAATGAAAAGAAAGCCAATACTTAGTGGCAATGAGTGATGAAACATCCATTGTAGCTTGCAATAAATAGTAATGCAAGGTCAGTGGCTTGAGCATGACGCTGTAAGTCTCCAACATTGCTGAACAAGTCACATTACTAGGTATTGGCAACGGCAAAGTCGGAGACAAGGCTTGGAGCAAAGATTAACATAAAAAAACCTGCCCAGTGAGCGAGCAAGAGTTTGTGATGGGCAGTAGGTCTCTTGAAGTCGTAACCGACTGTTCGCAAGAGCCATGTTGCAAGGTACACCAATCACAAGAAAGGATTTAGGTCATAAGTATCTAGTGGGCACACAACTCGCCCATGGGCAAGGGTTGCACATTTGGACCACCCCCTGCGACAAGCACTGCATGGCACACTTCTACAAATGTGGCAAAAAAAAGTTACCCGAAGAGGAACCCTGCTCGATAGGCGATAGTGTGTTCTTTGGGGCAGTCGTTCCTTTCGTTTCATCCCAATGGCTCGTGACTGTGTTTGTTTCCACTATTTCTTTTTGTTTTATTTCAGTAAGTTTATCTACACCATCTTTTTCGAATGCTGTTTTTTCATTGCTTCTACTCATTATCGACACTGTACTTTGCCTATTATTTCACTCTGCCAGTACGTCAGTCTGGTATTTAGTATATTGTTTTTTTTTTTTTTGTTCCTACATCTGTTAATTTACTGATTCGCTCAACGTCATCGATCAACATTTCGCGCATGAAGTTGATATTAAAATCACACACAATAACTCTTTGAAGAGCAGGCTGACGGTCACGCAACCACTGAAGATTGGCCGGAAAACTAATAGTGAATGCGTGACATTAATGCGTTCAAAGGTACCACGTGCGAGATCACTTACCATGTCGCACAGTTCGTCAACAGAACCATTGACATTTGCCTCCTGGAGTACTGCCTCTTCTAACATTTCACGAGCCGACGCTATTCCAGTAGGATTATTGCGTCGGGATGTGAGTTTCTTCGTTTTCGCCTTGCCCATCTGGATGGATGATTATTCAGTCACTCAACTTATTAGTTCGGCAGCCTCAGACACGCCGGCCCACATGTGAGCTGACCGCGGCCATGTTCAACAACATAACGAAGACAAAACCACGACACAACAAAAACCACCGACACCGGTTGCCAACATGCAACTTACTTATTCTAACTGTTCACTGCACTGTAAGTTGTAGCTTATTTTTACAGCGTGGTTGTGCTAATTTACACATTGCTCTTTATAATCTCATAACAACTTTTTTGTAGAAACAAATATATAAAAAATAGTATTTTTAAAGACGTCATACACGGCATATTGTTTTTAGTTTACTTATAAATAAACTATTTGTTAAAATTTTCAAGAGCGGTAAATATAAAATAAATGTTTTAAAAATATCATAATTTTAGTGTTAAAATTAGTGCATCAGACTTGAAGCACACCAAGTTTTGGATGCAATTCTTAAAGTCAATGCTTTAGCTGAGCCGTGCGGTGCACGAGCTGCTCGCACGCGGCACACATAAACGAACATTGTCGACAACTTTATTCTATAAGCTGACACGAACCTATGACAAACTGTACAGTTTTATATTACACAACTGAAAGAATGAGAATGAATCAAGGGGCCCGTTTTCAAAAATAAATCATCGGATAAATTTGATGAAGCCAATTTAAGCGCAGCTAGATGAAGTGCGGCTTGAAATAAGTAGGCGGTGTTTCTTGCACTTCTACGCAGCCCCGGGGATAGGTGTTCTGTGGCCCCGTTCCCACTGATCAGCTCACGGCTGTCCACCGGACCCCTAGAGGTGTGCGCCGAGACGGTTTCGACTAGTGGCGGCGTGGGGCTCGTTTTGAGTCGGCGGCGGCGGCGTCGCCAGCGCACGCTGGGTAAAATCGGCGGCGGTGCCGGCGGCGTGGAAACCGAAACGACAAGTTCAAAGGGCTCTTTACTGCGTTTTTTTTTTTTTACTTAATTAGCTGCAATTCGAAGCTTTCAGCTCTAACAGCAGAATATGACATATAAGAAAACTAAAAGAGAATTGGCAAACGTTTCGTAAATGATTTATTTTTGAGCATGCATTCTGAAAATGGGGGAAAAAATGGGGCGAGGGGGTACTTATCTCAAGTCGTGTACAGTACATAATTAATTTTCGGGGACGTTTTGACCACCCGGTTAGCGTTCGTCAGACAGCGATTACCGCGGCTGGGATCGAACACGAATCAGAACACTGTTTCACCGTGGTATGTATGTTGAATGTATGTTGATGCTGATGCTGATGACCCTTGATGGATGGCGCTTACCCACAAAGGGGGATGGGCCAAGAACCGGGCGGCAGGATACTTAAATGAAACTAAACTGAAAATGAAGCCAATCTGAAAAAGTAGCTTAAAATAATACTACCAAAAACAAAAAATGTGTGCTGAGCAAGCGGTCATACCATCTTTTGTTTTTGAAAGACATAACTACGAATCATAAACTAAAGATCTGAAAAGGTAGTGGTTCCCTAGCATGGTAATCTTTTAGTTGCGTTGATGTAATCAAACACAGCGGAGCATACATCCCTGTGGCAGTAACCAAATGAAGTTCCGCCAAGTGATAAAATTACTGGTAAATTTACTTGTATTCCGAGCTTTTGTAATGGGGCTACTAAAAATATTTTTCTCTGATAAGAATAATGATGACAGAATAAAACGAAATGTTCAATTGTTTCAATTTCGTTGCACCAAATGCATAGCGGTGACGCCTTGAGCTGAGCTTTATTAAGGTAATAATTTAGTTGTGGAACTGCACAGCGCAATCTGGTATAAGTGACCTCTAACTGGCGAGATACACACCACTGTTTATTCCAGCAATAGCTCAAATGCTCGAAATCTTTAAATTTATCCAAATTACCTTTTCCCCATTGCAGGCAAGCATTTCGGAACCTTAGCGCGGTTACGTAAGCCGTATCTGGCAAAACTGGGATGGTGGGCCCACCCAGGGATACTGCTGCTAAAGAGTCCGCCATTTCGTTCAAATATAATCCGCGGTGGCCTGGTACCCATAGCAAATGCAGTTTTTTTACGTTTTTCGGTACTAAATGCCGAAACGTATTCATCAGCTCTGAACTTACTGCCGTAGAAAGTGCATTACAAACTGATAACGAATCTGTAATGATAACTGCTAATATTTCGCTTGAGGGTAATTTGCGTAGGGCAAGAACAATGGCCAATAATTCTGCCATGAATACCGGGGTATAATCTGGGAGTCGAATCGATTGCTTCTACAAATGCGCAGCATTCTTTTTTTTTTTTTTTAGGGGGCGAAGCTTCTTAAGGTGCGAGTTTGTCCATTCTCCGATGGTGTATGTAGCCACCGGTGGCACATACCCGAAAGAGTGGTCCTTAACATGTCCGCTGGATGGCGGCACTTGTATATGATGATACGATGAAAAGATGTCAGATGGCTGTACGTGGAGTGTTTACTAGATAGACGAACGGACGGAAGGACGTACGGTCTGAAGACGGGCGGACAGACGGGTGGACTGGACGTACGGACAGATGCATGGACGGACGGATGCACCAACAGTCACACGAATGGACGGACGCACGTATGGACGCATGGACGGACGGAAGCAAGAACGAATGGGTGGACAAAAGCACGAACGGACTGACGAACGCTTCGCCCCATCAATCATCATTCACTCCGTGGATATGCTGTTTTTGTTTGGGGGGGGGGGGGGGGGGAGGGGTACTGTCTTTGCATAAGTTTCACAAAATTCATGGATGGTGGTAACTTGCTGGCATATCATTTGAAAGAACGACGAACCCAGCCTTGAGGAGCGCACGCAAGCCCCACCACGGTGGTCTAGTGACTAAGGTACTCCGCTACTGACCCGCTGGTCGCGGGAACAAATCCCGGCTGCGGCGGCTACATTTCCGATGGAGGTGGAAATGTTGTAGGCTCGTGTGCTCAGATTTGGGTGCACGTTAAAGAACCGCAGGTGGTCAAAATTTCCGGAGCCCTCCACTACGGCGTCTCTCATAGTCATAAGGTGGTTTTGGGACGTTAAGCCTCACATATCAATCAATCAATCTTTATCTGACAGTGGCAACATTAGCTGTGGTATGTGTCAGAGAACATCATCACGCACTTTACCACACACCTATAGGTGTGTGGTAAAGCGCGTGATGAAATATTTGCCACGCTGGCTGACTGTTTATCTCCGAGAAGTGAACACACGTGGCGGGCTGTGCAAGGAACAGCGGCATCGTCTTCGAAAATGTGCAGTGTTGACTGTAGCATGTAGTGGGCGTTGAAGGGCATCGACTATATTGGTTCACCTTTACGAACGGTGATACTGCGAATATTGTGCGTGATGTGTGCAGTGTGAATAACGCTATGCCTCCTGTTTGCGAAAAAAACTTGTATTCGTTGTGGGGCCGTTGCAGTAACCGGTTGTCGATGGAACTTTACGATCTGACATTTTAATCAAGGTAAAAATGCATTTGATGCGATCACCTGCGATCGTGTAAGTACATCTCACCGTATGCGTGGCGTGAAGAAAAATAAAAGTGCATGATCTCCCGGTCAACGTTACTAGTATAAACTCAGCTTCAAACACAGAGGAAGAAAAGGTAAGGAGAGGGCATGCCCAGCCGGCGCAGGGCGTAAAAAATGTGGCGGAAATTACGTCGCGCGCGGCCATAGTTACAAGGCACAATGGCGGCGTTTTGTTATTGTTGATGTAGTGCGGTGCGGCACCGTTCAGGTGGTCCAGCGGCGGTGTGCGCGTTTCATGGGCCTCGCACCTAACCGTGGCGTACTGCAGGTGTTCGACAGCATCCATTCTTTGTGCCGCATCGTTAGCTACGCGATTTTCCCCCGTGGTGGTTGTAACCAGGTGTCTGAACTAGAAACCACGGAACGAGCGCGCGTAACGTACTCCGAATTTGCAGCGTCCGTCAAAATTATGCTGAAAAGCCATTATAGAAGATAACCACTGTGCTCAAGAATTCGTTCAATGAATGGCTTGCAGGTAAGTGACAGTTATGCGGTGTTGCTTCTTATGACAACGGACGATGCATTTGCGGTCCACAGGCCCTTATTAAGACTGTAATCTAATCTTGCTTTTCATGTTCCTGTACAGTTACCGGTTGGCGGTTGGCGCTGAGCTCTGTTCCAGATAAGGAAGACAGAAACAAGCGCCTTCTCTTTATTTTCCTCTAATGACTAGCCACTTATCCCGGAGACATCTTCCCTCACATTAGGCTGGCTTTCCCTGCCGTCCTTGGCGGCTGTGTCGACGCGTGAAGCTTCCCGCAGACCTTTCCTCACGCATTCCTTTGGCTAACTTTCCCACCTTTCGCCCTGACGCGATCCTGGTCTCCGTTCTCCGTAGCTACTAGTGCGCGTGAATCACACTAGAGACGTGTTCCCACGCACTTTCGGGTGGTCTTCGCTGCTTTCGTCCTAATGAAATCATGGCCTTTGGGATATCCGTAGGAACCAGTGTGCGTCGGACAAAAGAGGGGCGAAAACAAAGAGGCCGGCGCAAACTCAACGGGCTGCCACGCACACAAGCTCCACCGACGCCGTCTTTACTGGCATAATTACGAACCTCCGGGTTTATTGCAGGGAAGACATTTTTTCTTTTTTTATCGTTGTGTCTAGCCCCCAGCCTGACCGAAAATTTCATAAAACCTAAATAGAAGTGCAAAAGGGGAAAAAAGTGATCTGAAAGAAGCTTTACAAATTTCGGTGCCTGGTTCGTCGCGCGGCAATGTCCGAAATATAATCTTTATTTTCACAAAGAAGACATCAAATAAAAAAAAAGCTTAACGTGCAACCTCCAAGTACGGGAAAATCTACATAAATAAGCGTTTTAGCGTAAAAATTTATGACGACCACTAGAATTTTAACCAATGTCATCTGGCCTAGACTAAAAACGGCCCAAAACGTCTGTAAAAGCCTCAAACAAGTGGACTTGGTGAAATACATTATTGCTCTATAAAAGCAGTAATCATGTTTTCCACTAGTTACAAAAAATAAAAGACTTTCTTCAAGAAGCAGAACCCGTGCTGCACACTGTTCATCAGAGAAGTCTTCGCGACGGCTACC